TATAATATAAATCCACCAGGAAACTGGATTTTTATCAACCACTTTTTTCTACTTATGTTTTCATCTTCTCTTCCACCTACCTGCCACCCCCACCAGGGATGATGTCTATCCTGAATTGTGCTTTTCTCATTACCTTACTTGCTAATATAATACATATAAATGTAGGTGCAGAAATAATGCGTTGTCTAGTTTTGCTTATGTTAAGCTTTATAAAATATCCCACTGCATTTAATGTTCAGGGACTTGCTTTTATCTTTTAATATTATATTTCTAAGCTTCATCTCTGTTATTGCAATAGCTATAATTTAGTTTTTGCTCATGTAAAATATATTATCTTGTATAAATAAATATTCCCAATGATTTTATCAATTTCCTGTCAATGGTCATTACTATTTTCAAAGGTACTGGTATAAATATTCTTGGATATATCTCTGTTGCATATTTGCAGGAGCTTATCTAAGGTCTACGGATAGGAGTGGAATTCTAGGTGCTGGGCTGTACATGTCTTCAATTTTTCCAGATAGGATGAATCTCATCGGCAATATATATGTATTTCCAATGATCCATATCCTGTCTAACATTTGAAATATTTAGAGATCTGAATTTTTGCCAATTAAGAGAGTATAAAATTAGATCTAGTTATTCCAATTTTCAGTTTCCTAAATATTAATGTTTAGGCTTCTTTCCATATAATTAATGATCATATGTTTTGTTTCTTTCTGTGAGGTGTCAGTTCAAGTCATTTGCCCACTTTGTCTATTTTTCTAAATACATATATTTCTTAAAATATAATCTAGATACTAGCCAATAGTCATAATTTATGTTTCAAATATATTGTCCAAGTTTGTGACTTATCCTTTTACTGTTTAAATAGTGTTTTTTGAAGAATGAAAGTTCTTAATTTATCAGTCTTTTGAAAAATATTTAGTACTCTGCATTTTGTTTAAAAAAAATTATTTACCCAAAGTCAAAATGACTGTTTTTCCCCTCTAAATGTTTAAAATGTTGCTTTTCGTATATGTCTGCAAATATCCAAATTATATTTTTTATGATATAAGATATGCATCTAATTTAATTTCTTCTAAATAAGTAATCATTTAGCCTAGTATAATTCATTATAGACACTTTCCTTTCTAGGCTAATTTGAATTGCCATTTATACTATATATCATAGTTTGGAGGCAAATTATTTTGTTCCAATTAGCAATTTGTCTATGCCTGCACCAATACATCACTGTCTTAATTACTCTAGCTTGCTAATATGTTTTTATGTATACACGGGCATGTACACCAAATTTATTCTTTTTATTCAGAAATGGCTATTGTCATTATTTTAT